ACTCATTGTTACAGTACTCTAATCCATGTCAGTCCTTAGGGTTTTTACCTTTCTGTCTAGTGGTTTTCCACAAGGGCTTTCCACTCTTGAAATTTAGACGGGCCTAGTCCTTAGTTCTAAGGGTGTAGATCCACACTTTTCTGCTAAAGTCATCTAAATGGACATAAAGTAGCTATGCCCCTATGAGACCTCACTCTCTCAGGACCCATAGTCTGAGTGTATGTACTCTAAACAACCTTTGGCCAGATGTATGCCTTTTGGGAAACTAACTCTGTGCTGTTTTCCTAAAATGCAGTTCTCACAAAATCTAAGGTTGCAGCAGTGTCTTTTTCTAACATGCCTTGGTTACTTAGGATATCTAGTCCCCTCTGACTCATATGTCCCATTCTAAGGTGCACATTTTCGGTTACTGACATATTTGGGGTGACACAAGAAGAACTTAGGCAATCAGAATAATATCTCCACATAGGATGTACAATCCATTCTTTTTCTTCCTTTCAGAATTAGATTCTGGTTTCTATACACATTCAGCCACCTATTTTTAGCTCTGTAACAGCATCCTTCTTCATCTAAGGTTCCTAAGGAATGAGGTTCCTTTTAAGTTCTGGAATGTACCTAAAATGGGTAAGTTTATTAGTTCCCATACAGAGTTTAAGGGTTATACTGCCTTTACCTTTGACCCTACAGGCATTGTTGTTCCCCATGAACACAGTCTCCCTATCATATTCCTCAAAGTCCTGAAACCAGTCCCTATTGGGACTCATGTGAAAAAAGCACCCAGAATCTAACACCCATTCTTTGTATTGTCAGTAACAGAGACAGTACGGACCTCTGTTTCTTCAGCTAAGTGTTGGATGAGGCTAGGTTACTCTCTGTGTTTTCCTGCTTTTGTTTCTTAAGCCATTCAAAAAAAATTCTTTTTCAGGTGAAAAGTTTTTACAGAAAAACACTTTCTAGACTCTGCCTTATGCTTATTGTTCCATTTACCCGTTTTGTTTTTGGACCCCTGGCTAGGTTGACTGCCTTTACCAGATTGAGAGGTATCTGGTTTTCCCTAACAAACAGGTTACTCCACCTTCGCTTTGGACTTTCAAATCAAGTTCTCTAGCCTTAAGACCAGCCACAATCAAGTCACAATAGGAACAGTACTGGAATACTGAAGTGCATTCTTAACAACTGATAATCCTCAGTAATGGAGTTTAACAAAATCTGGAGACTGGTCTCTCCTAGTTCCTGATCTGTGCCCTTTAAAATTAAGGTCATTTTTAGGAATTCATCTAGGTTCTCCTCTATTGTCTTGCTACTATCCATTTTATAAGAAAACAAAGCACCCTTGAGAAAAGCTAAGTTAGGTGCAGATTGAAGTGCATACAAAGTTCGAGTTTACCCATAACCTTGAGGGGTTTCGATTCCATCAACCTTTCTCAGTACGCTGTCGAGAGGTTCATCACGATCAGATTGTAGGCAGCTTCATCATCTCTCCTTCTCCTTCAATTTCTCCTCGGACCATTTCTTTGGATCCTTCCCAGTGCTAGGGCGACTTTGTTATGTAAAGCAGAGCCCTCATTTTCTTCTTCCACTCCCGAAATCGATCTTCCATCGTATTGGGAGATCTCCATACGTGTAGTGTTCATGATATTATATAGACAGTGTGATACAGTCTAGGAGTAAGTGGCGTTGTTACACCAGACGTTGCCAATACTGCCAAGCAGTTTTTAAGGCGGTCACTGGTTTCAGCCTATATACCCTTAAACTGGACAGACAACCGAGAAGAGAACAGTGCGAGTAGTGGCGTTGTTACACCAGAAATTGCCAAATACTGCCAAGCAGTTTTTAAGGCGGTCACTGGTTTCCAGCCTATATACCTTACACTAGACAGACAACCGAAGAGGAACAGTGCAAGTACAGACTCACGGTACTGACCAAGATTACTCTCCTTAACCAGTGTTTGTGACCTAATCTCACAAAGAAAACCAGAGACTAGTAAGAATCAACATTCTAAGGCTCTAGGAACCTTAGATTAAGAAAAAACCCTAAAAAACTGGAAACCCTAATTTTTTCGAGCAAACCCTAATTTTCAAGAAAACCTAATTTTCGATCTGTCAAAAATTGAACGATCTCAAAAAGATTACAGCCTAGGACGAGGCTCTGATACCACTATTAGCAATCAACCTATAATGCAAACTGAAACAAATAAGAAAACAGAAACCACAAACAAAACACAGAATCTTTACCGTGGTTCACTTGCCCGATTTGAGCAAGCTACTCCACGTTGAACTGGAAGAGAGTTCGCTGCACTATGATTAAAGAAACACGATTACAGTCACGATTCAAACGAAAGACTCTCCAAGAAACCCAGATCGAACAACACTTTCTGAAACGTAATCTGCCGTAGGACTCTCTAACCTGGAAATCCCTATAACAAGAAAACAAACAGTCCACTTGATTGATTAACCCAAACCACTCAAGAAACTCACAGATGACACAGAAAATTGGACCCAAAGTAAGAACCCTAGTTTTCTAAGAAAAACGAAAACTGCTCTCAACTTTTTATTGACTACTGTCAACAGGAAACCCTAATCCTTTTATAGTGTTGACTGGAGGCTTGATCTCAGCTGTTGGCTTTCCTTCTGAATTAGCGGTCAAGATCATCCAGGAGCTGTCTCAAAACGACACCGTTCCATTAACCCAGTACGACGCCGTTTCAGCATTCACTACAAACAATTTGTAAAACCCAACTCATTGTTCCAAGACTCCATTCTTTTAAGTGAATGTAATTCGTTTTCAATAATGAAACAATATATTCGAAATTTCGAATAGAGAGGTACGCGTTCTTACCCTCATATTTGATTTTGAGGTGATAAGAGACAAAAATTCATAAATATCTGACAGTGGGTTATTCTCTATAAAATATCATTTCAACTCAATAGTGAATTAAATGATTATTTTTTCCTCTTTATATCTTTTGATATTTCCATGATTTTTTTTTTTTTTTTTTTTTTAATTTCAATAAAAAAAGCAAAGTTACCTTAAGATATTTGTCAAAATCATGGAGTTACACAAATATTTTGAACTAAATATGTGTAGTAAATTTTTTGAAACGGACTATTACTAACGGAAATTATTTGAGATGGTAGGATTCATATTTAATGATTAATATTAGGAGGCTAGCTTAATCTCTAAGAGCTTAACCGTGATGGTTAGACTTGTGATTTGTTACCACCATACATGTAATTCGAGCCACACATTCAATCGGTTACCTAATTCACCACTAGCTTCTACTACAAAAACTCCACACATTCAATCGGTCACATCATTCAATCCATCATGGTTAAGTGTTCAAATAGCTAACCATGATGGTTAGCTATTTGAACGCTTGCTAAGAAAGTGAAGTGTATTTTGAGTATAAACGGAATATAAACTTTAGTGAAAAAGTGGTTTTGAATTTTGGGTGGGAAAGTGTCATTAAGGCAAACCTTGAGTTGGGAAAAAAGTCGTTTACTCTTCCAGGAAACTACTCAAACCTTAAAATTGTGTTGACTGTGTGACCCAAACTAGCATGCAACAAAGTCTAGGGTGTGTTTGGTTGGAGGTAATGCTGGATTACTGAGGTAATATCATCAAGCTATGTTTGGTTATTAAGTAATAAAATTCCGAAATCTTTCAAAACTAATAGTAGTTATTGTTGGTAATATAAGAGGTAATTTGATTACCTCCATTTTCTTAAGCATTTTAAGATTAAGTTGGGAATGAGAATTGAAAGGGAAAAATAAAAGGTACAGTTTAAGAGAATAAAGTTGTTTTACTGTTCTCTTTACTTAACAACATGAAATGTTCAAGCTTTATTAATACAAGAGCCCAATACACGTGAGGTAACAATTAACCAATTGCAACTTGCACTTAGATAGGCTAGGTTACTTGTCCGTAACCTAAACACCATGAACCATTGTTACCTAATCCTAACATCTTCCCTTAAACCAAACTTCCATAGACATGAACCATTTGATACACTAATCCTAACATCTTCCCTTAAACCAAACTTCCATAGACATGAACATTGATACACAAATCCTAACATCTCCCTTAAACCAAACTTCCATAATCTCATTATTTTGACAACTGAGATTTCATCATTCAAGAGACAGCATCAAACTCAGCAAACACCAGCAAACATAGACTAATTCATTACTTCAATATGGAATCACCATCAGCTAGTACTAAATCATCAAAACTAGCAGCAAAAACTGACAGCTTCAACAGCAACATCATAATTCAAAAAGGACAGATCAAAGCTGACAACTTCAACAACATACTCAATAGAAAAATCAGCATCAAAACGACAATTAGCATTAAATCAGCAGAACAAATCAGCAAACATTGAAACAATCTTTCAACTCTTCACTACTAAAACCAAAACAGCTTCAACTTAGCAAATTCAACATTCAATACAAACTTCAACAATCAGATCAGTAGAACAAATCAGCAAACACTGAAACAATCTTTCAATTCTTCACTACTGAAAATCCAAAACAGCTTCAACTTAGCAAATTCAACACTTCAATACAAACTTCAACAATTAGCTAGCATCAACACTTCAATACTAAAACTTCAAACAGCTTCAACTCTTCATTTCTGAAACTCCAAAATAGCTCAACTCAGCAAATTCAGCAAATTCAACACTTCAATACAAACTTCACCAAACAGCAAAAATCAACACTCAACACTTCTGAAACACTCAAAAAACTTCAACAACCATCAAACAAAAGTTCAACCCTGTAAAACTGAAACTCCAAAACAGTTTCAACAAACATCAAACACAACTTTCAAGCCTGCAAACTCCAATATTAAAACACATAATTTTCAACCCTACAAACTCCAAGATTAAAACACCAGTAACACATAAACAGCAGTAGCAAATTGATTAAACTGATGGACAGTAACACAAAACAGCAGCAGTAGATTGATTAAACTGATGGAGTAGCTCTTATATTGAGCTTTTCTCAAAAGGTTGCAAACTTGGAAGCTGGCAGTGCTTTAGTAAGGACATCTGCTTTCTGAAATTCAGTAGGAACATACTGAACTTTTGGTTTATTGTCAGTAACTTGATTTCTCACATAATAAGCATCAAGCTCAATGTGTTTTGTCCTGCCATGAAAGACAGGATTCGAGGCTAATGAACCAGCACTTTGGTTGTTACACCAACTGACTGGAATACCAGAAAGATGTAGTCCAAGCTCAGTGAATAGACTGCAAAACTAGACAATCTCAGTTGATCCTTGTGTAAGGGCTCGATACTCTACTTCAGTAGATGACAGAGCAACAACTCTCTGTTTTCTAGAAAACCTCTTAATTAAGTTAGATCCAAGAAACACACAGCAACCACTTGTTGATCTTCTGTCATGCAAGCTGCTGGCCCAGTCAGCATCAGTGAAACACTCCAGCTGAAACATATGGCTTTTAGTGAAATGAACTCCATAATTAGAAGTTCCTTTAATATATCTCAGAAGCCTCTTACAGGCCTGCCAGTGTAGCTGTGTTGGTGCCTTTAAAAAATGGCTCAGTTTGTTGACTGAATAGGCAATGTCTGGTCTGGATAGGATAAGGTATTGCAAGGCTCCAATGGTACTGCGGTAAAGGGCGGGATTGTCAAATAGTTTACTGTCATCAAGAGTGAGTTTAGTGCCAACTGCCATTGGGGTAGAACATGGTTTGCAATCAACCATTTTGGTTTTGATGAGAATGTCCTTTGCATACTTCTCTTGATTCATGTAAAGACCAGTTGCATCTTGGTAACCTCAAAGCCTGAAAAATATTTTAAAGATCCAAGAATCTTCAAAGCAAATTGAGTGTTAAGCTTTTGGACAGTGTCTTGAATCAGTTGAGGAGTATTTCCTGTCAAGAGTATATCATCCACATATACTAAGACATACATTACTTGATCTTAATTATGGAAAATAAACAAGCTTGGATCAGCCATTGAATTTACAAAACCCCAATCCAGAAATGTTGCTTTAAGTTTGTCAAACCAGGCTCTTAGAGCCTGCTTAAACCCATAGAGTGCCTTTTTTAGCTTGCATACATGATAAGGAGTAGCAGAATCTACAAACCCTGCTGGCTGTACCATATACACATTTTCAGCTAATTCACCATTCAAGAATGCATTGTTAATATCAACCTGCTGGATGTCCCATTCATGGCTCATGGCTAGACTGAGAATAACTCTAACAGTGGGTTATTTCACGACTGGACTGAAGGTTTCCAGGTAGTCAATTCCAGGGGTTTACTAGAAGCCTTTTGCAACTAATCTTGCTTTGAACCTTTGGATAGAACCATCAGCATTATGCTTAACTTTAAACATCCATTTACAGCCCACTAGATGCATGTTAGGAGTTAGTGGAACTAGTTCCCAGGTTTGATTAGCTAAAAGAGCTTCAAATTCTGATTGCATAGCAGTTGTCCAAGAGGGATGAGAGAGTGCTTCCAAAACAGTGTTTGGTTCCTTGGTATCAAGGTGAGAGGTGGAAATAAGGGCAGTATTGTGAGCTTTGGCTTTGGATCGAGTGACCATTTGATAAGTGTTTTGGGTTGAGATATTGGATGGAGGAAAGGATAAGTCAACAATCAATGGTATGGTCTCAAAAGATGCATTAGAATCAATGGTGATAGGAGAAGTAGCTAGCATAGAATTATCATGAACTAAAGGTAAATCATGCTTGTTGAAAACCTGATCAGATGCAATAGGACAAGAAGAAGAGAATGGAGACTGTTCAACCAGTGGAGTAGAAACAGGTTGATCAGTCATTAATGCTGAAGGGTGAGAGGTTTGAGAATGACTCATGGGATTATCAGGCAATATAGAAGACATAGAAGAGGACAAATGGTATAAAGAGGAAGGGAGCACATAATTAGGAACATGGCAGGTAGACTGAAAACCAAAACCAGAGGATGACTGTATGGGGTCTGTACAAGAAGTTGAAACACTGGAAATTGTAGGAGTGATGAAAGGAAAGTCCATTTCATCAAATTTGACACTTTGACATATATAGATTCGACCATTAGGAGCAAGACATTTGTATCCTTTTTGTTGCAAACTGAAACCAATAAAGGTATATTTAGTGGTATGAAAATCAAATTTGTGATGGTTATAAGGCCTAAGGAATGGATAAGCAGCACAACCAAAGACCTTTATGTGAGAATAGTTTGGAGAATGATGAAACAGTTTTTGAAATGGAGAAAGATTGGAGAACACTGTTAGTGTATATTAGTGTATGCCCTAGAAACCATTCATGTTGTCGGTTTCAGAGCATTTTGTCTTGTATCTATATAGGATCATAAATAATAGAAGAAAGAGTTCTTCAATTATATATGTAAATTGCTTCCTTTATCAGTCATGCATTTAAAATAAAGTATGTATATGAATTGTCCAGTGATTCATTTAATAGGTAAATGAATTATCGAAAAGGGTTCCCCGGAAGCAATATAAATTTGGGCAACTATATTGCACAGTAGGCATACCGGAGCTTCCGAAGATATATGAGTTGATATAAGTACGGATGACGATGATAGTCATGTCACTGGGGCATTGGTATGGATTAACGGTTGGTGAACTGTTTTTCGAATGTGACCGAATAACGACAAATCACTTGGAAAAGCATGTAGTCAATGATTTATCGTTTGGTTTATCAGTGCACGATGTAGTCCTTTGACCTGAGACATTGTAGTCGGATCCGATATGGTGGTATGGTTCATACGGTGTATAAGTACGAGACTAATCATGTTCGTACAATAAAGCCTATTTGGTCATGCGTTGTTCATAGCGGAAACGAACGATGGTCAAAAGGGGATCCATTGACTCAGAAATATAGGATCAGGAGTACTACTGACTCCATCCGGATCGAGTTCTAGACAAACATCGATAAATGTCAGAAAATTGAATCTCTGGCCAGAGTCTATTATTAGTCATACAAAAGCAAGTTTGTGATGACGAGTTCCGAACATATTGATCGACGATTCGGTAGAAGATCGAGTTTAGGATTTTGACGTTCCATGAATCCATACTCGATTGGATATCTCAATGGAGGGACTTTATCTGTATGGTACGTATGATCTGAAATGGGTTCGATGAAGTATTTCTTCATCGTGGTTTAGGGACTATGGCACATTGCTAGATGTTTACCATAGTCGTTGGGCCTCCGGACGGGTTTTCGGATTATCCAGAAACGGCTTACGGCTATCCACGGGTGACCTACATGGTCACACCAATAGCCTGAGAAGTTAGAGAGATGAGAGAGAGAAATGATTATCCGAAGAGGGCTAGCACTAGACCTGGCAAAACGGGTGGGTGGGCGGTACGGGCGGGGTAAAACGGGTACGGGTCCAAAACGGGGGATATAACGGGTCCAGTATTTTGGACCCGTGCCCTACCCTATACGGGTACGGGTGACCCGCGGGTGGACCGTTTTTTCTCTCCTAGCTTTCGGTTTGACAGTTACCCCTAACAGTTTCAATTATGACAATTACACACCCAAAATTCCTACAGTTTTAATTTTTTACATTTACACCCCCTAAATCAACTACTCTAAATCAATTCAATAAGAATATAAACAAATATGAACCAAAAAAAACAAATAACACATAAACAAACAATAACTATAATACAAAACTACAAATACCAACCAAAACAAACAAATACCAAATCACTAATATACAATTACACATAAACAAACCAAATAAGTCAATAAACTATAAATACCAATTAAATAAAACAATACATAATCCAATATTCAACAAAAAATTCTTAAGACAGCAAAGTGTCATTCCACAGTGGGCGTGATAGAGTCCTGATTCCACGGTCTCGAGATCAGTCAATGGCACATCAAGATCATCATCCGAATCATCTTTCACTATATTACTACAAAACATGATCAACTACAAATATTAATAATGTATAATAAAATATACGAAATATTATGTTAACATGTACCTTTAAACTCATATCCATATAGCCAAGTTCGAGTGCATTCAAAGATTCTGCATTTTTTGGTCGAAGTGAGCTTCGTATTTGTTGAGCACTTTACACCATACTAAAAGCGGACTCTGAGGCAACGGATGTTATTGGTATTGCCATGATATCACGAGCCATATGGTAAGTACCGGATAACGATCACGATTATTCTTCCAATGATCGAGGATATCCAAATTCTGATATTGACGCGATCAAACCTCATCTCTTCCAAATAAAGATCTAACTCGGATTTCTAGTGGAAATGAAAACACTCTCATAGCTGTCAAAACCTACATCATTTAAACAATAAGTGTCAAAAGTTAAAATTAAACAATAAACAATACTTTATTTTCATAAGAATATAAAAACTAAAAAGTATAGTGACTTACAGAAGAATGATCAACGCCTACTAGAAGTAGAACTACTCGCAGGAGAAACAACTGAGGTGAGGCAGGAACTTCTTTACAACATAGCCTGTAAGCTTGAAAAGCTTTGCAAGTTATTCTTACAGTTCCAACTCAGTACGGCAGTATTTGAATCATAAACTTTGTTGAAAGCGTACTCCACAAACTGAAAATTGAGACGTGGGTCAAGAATAGTTGCAATCGTCAACACAAAACTATAAGAATCCCAAATTTTGTAAATTTTGGGATCATTTGTTTTGCATGCTCTTAACAACTTCATCTCACTGTACTCTCTTCAATTAAAACGCAATTGAATTTCTCACACACATTTCAAGTACAAGTGCTGAGGAATTTAGAACCTGAGAATAAAGTCGTAATATCATTAAATGGTTCCAAGAACTTGCATATCCTCTCCCCCTATCCCATTCTTCATTTGATGGACAAAATTTATAACTAGGATCTATTGTTGACAAAGCACAAACAGGGACGAAATATTAACGCTGTATCAAGCATTAAAAAGTCGAATTCCATCTAGTGGAAACATCCAATCTCAACCGAGCTTTCACTCCATTTGTACAGCAAGTTCCCAAACTTGATTCTCCTAGCCTCAGTTGCTTTAATATATTCACACATATCGAATCTTATTCAAAGCAACACTGCAGCTCTTAACCCTTCTGAACATAAGATTCAAGATATGTGCAGAACATCGCACATGGAAAAATTCACCTTTACAAACAAGCATTCTGCACACAAAGTTGGTTCCTAAGATATCCTCCTCCATCATTACTACTTGCATTATCCAAAGTAATTGAGAAAATTTTCTTTCAATACCCCACTCTTGCAAGAAATTCATGATATTTTTGCCAAAACAACCCTGAGTGTGGAGGAGGAATATGACAAAAGTTCAATATTTTATTCTGTAACTCCCAATCCTCATCTATATAATGAGCTGTCAAAGAAAATATCCCTCAGTTGTACCAGAAGTCCAAACATCAGAAGTTAAGCATATTCTACTTGTCAGCTCCCTAATTCAGCTTAGTTTTTTCTTCATCCTTTCAAATATTTTAAGCAATCGCCTTAGCGGTGTTCTAGAATAATGCACAAGCTCATTACACACATATGAAAGACTCTCCTAGTTCCTTGATTCTCCACATATGAATATGGATAATTATGTGATAATTGAAGGCCATATATTCACGAAAAGTCTCTTGACTAATCTTTCTACTTGCAATCTATGATTATGATCAATCAATAATTGCCCTACCTCAGGTTGGCCCGTTTGGAC